AAAAAAAAGGGGTTTTTTTTTTTTTTTTTTTTTTTTACGTATCGTTACCTTTACCAGGGTGCGGCTTTTGCGCTCTTGACGGACATAAATTGTGTTCGCAACTACAATGATTGCTACTGTTTAATCGATTTTAAGAGATACAATCTATTGTAGGTCGAGGACCATTTTAACATTTAGTTGCTAAATTTTAACAATATGGACGCATATATTTCTTTTACATCTGGCAATCCTACATGTATAGATTTAGTTAAATATAGTAAAGATGTACACATGTTAAAACAAAAACACATCTAGATGCATACATGCATATCGACAAAAATACTACTTCTTAATATATTAATTGTATTTAAATGGTGTATATTTAATATCACGGAGAAAAAGATATATTCTGAGCGCTGTTTAGTCTCTACTCAAAATAACATAAAAAGATATAAAAAGAAAAAAATAATAGAAATTGAAATGCGACACAACTAACATTAAAAAAGGCAGAATATATATGTTTCATGATATCATGGTGGTTAGGCTTATTTCTCTATCAATATCAACATAATTTCATAGAATGTCATAAACTTTTTCAGATAATTCAATAACACTCACAAATCTAGTCGGATTCAGGCGTATTTGTTTCACTTGAGAAAACGTTCCCAAGAAAATATTTTTCCGGGAGATGTTACAACATTTATTTACTTTAATCAAATCATGAGATTATAGGAAGATACTGGCCTATTTTGTTTCATTTAAGTAAACGTCTTCCAGAAAGTTTTGTCATTTTTTTTCTTTCAAGAGTGATACTGCAATATCTGTTCAAAATCAATCAAATCAAATCTTTCTTGAACTTTTTTTGATTCATCAGATTCTCGTTTTTTCATATCAAAGTATAAAAGGAAAACACCTTTGATTATAATATACTGTTAAAAAACAAGAATAAAGATCAATAACGCAAAGGCAACGTTCACAGGACAGTTCCTACCAACTCTTATTCCTATTAATATAATGACAGATCAATGGTTCATTGTTTGCAATTGCAGAGAATGAAAAAGAGAGATCCTTAAAAACGATTAATTATGCAACAGAATTCATTTTTTTACACAAGACCAAGCAAATACACTTGTACTAATACAAGATCTAGATCAGAAAAATCACTTAATTATCGAATTATATTATAGCACCTGTTCACTTTTTACTACATTTATCAAATGCAACACAACTTAGAATAAATGCATCACACAATGCATCATTGATTTTACTACAACAGATCACACCCGGCGTGACCGTGCCACGTAAGATCCTACTCTAGTGAAATCATTCCGAGATAAAAACAAGTTTCAGATCAAAATATTCCAAAAGTCTTATAATAACCGAATTCTAATTCACTCTAGAATTAGTTTATGCAATGCAGTGCTATTTAGTTAATGCTCATTTCACTTCTTTGAGTTTTAGAATTTATATTTTAGCAGAAACTCTAACAGCACATGCAGTTCAATATTACGTATATAAGTCTTTCTGTCAGACGAACTAAAGTTACCTAGTTCTGACGGCATTTTATTGTTTTCAATGGGAAATTTCTCACAAGGTTTCTTTTTACATTAGCGTTTTTAACAGCCTGAGATTTTTCGGATGATCAACTAATTTGTTTAAATGCGTCGTCAGATAAAAAGATTTATAACATAGGAAATAAAGAAGGAACTTATTACTCAAAATATTGGAGACTTATTTCAGAATATGCTACACAAGGAAAGCATGTTCTAATACAAAATATTTGCAGAGTTGTTGGGACATTTGAGGAAAGATAAATAGAAATCATTAAAATTTTTGCCCCCGTGAACAATACATCTTCTGTAAAAATGCGGACAATTTATTCGCCCTGTTGAACAATTTTATTGGATAACAAGTTGAATCTATTGAACAGAACTGTATAAAAGAACAAATATACTTTCTCGAATATTTCCATGTCCCAAGAAATTCCTTTAAGTTTCTTAATTTCTTGAATGCTTACTATCGATGGATACTTAGTTATATCCCAGCAAACAAAAGACGTTGTACCAACGTTGTACTGATGTTAGACCCTGACGTTGGGTAAACGTTGGCAGAAGGTTGGATTTGAAAGTTTTTTAGACGTCAGAAACCGACGTCTATACAACATCATAAAATGACCTTTATCCAACCTTTTCTGACCATAATCCAACCTTTTCTGACTATTATCTGACCATAATCCAACCTTTTCTGACCATTATTTGGACATAATCCAACCTTTTTCTGACCATAATCCAACCTTTTCTGACCATTATCTGACCATATGCCAACCTTATCTGACCAAATTTTCTGACCATGATTTAACCTCATTCAAAACTTTTGGAATATTATCTTTTTTCATTTTGAAGCTCTTTAATAGGGTTTAATAAATAAGCATTCTTATGATTTTAGCAATTTATTTTATACTCGGAATCACAAGTACAAAACAAGAAATGTGGTACTATAACAAAATGCAAGATTTACATAATATTTTTTGAAACTATTAAACTTGACGGTATGTACTTTAATAACGCTTCATGTATTAATTAAGCATGTTTTAGAAATAAGATAAACAAAATCCTTAAAATCCTTCTTGAATATTAACACTGACATTTTATAAAGCAAACATCCATGCATGTGTTTTTTCTTATATCACCACTGAACTGATCACTCTGAGTTTGGGATTTTTCAATCATCTATCCAACTCACTGATTGTATATTTGTCTTTGTATTTTATAACTGAATCTAGATCTGAATGTTAAATGGAACAATATTCTGAATATTTTGTTATAACTATAAATAGCAATGTTCATGTATCTTCATTAGTATTCTAGCTTCTTTCGTCCTCCTACACTATGTCGATCTGGGGCATACTATAAGCGTATCATTACCGTCTCCAACCTGAGATCTCATCACACTTTCTGAAATTAAAAAAATAAAATAATCAGTTACAAGCGCAAGAAATAAATCACTTATACATATTATAATTAAACGAAATTCTAACAAAACTCTCCAACTACTTAAAAAGATACTTATTATTTTTAAGTTAGTTTAAACCATGTAGTTTCGTGTACCTACTGTATATATCTATTAATTTTGATAAAAATGGCTTCGTGAATCTCATTATAAAATCAAGGGTAATAAGATCACTGTATTTTCTATAATATTTTGAAATATACCTGTCACAAAATCTTGGTAGGTTTTCATTTTTCTTTTCCTCTAAATATTTTTATCTTCCTCCTGAACTTTTGACACATGTTGAATTATCATAGTTTTCACAATCTGAAAGATGAAATATAATCGTTTTAGAATTTAACCATGTGGTGGAAGGATGTTTGTCTAATACAATAGGCAAAATCCAATTACTATTAATCTTAGTTAACTCATAAGCGCATGAAAAACTGATATAACAAATACCAAAATGAAATTAATTTTACTCCCGCAAAAAATGATATTGTTATTTTTTTATATTCAATGTACTTTGTACAAATGCTCATACAACATCAAAGAAATTCACATGTTACTGTCATTTTTGTAGATATAATGTCTGCCCAGCATGATCCGATCTACTAAGTGTATATAGGACAGACTGGCTTAGTGAAAAAACGTTTTATGATACGAGCATACAACTTGTTGATAAGCAGGCTAATTAACAAACTATTACTTTTATTGATTTATAACTATGATAATGTGTTTTCTGATTGATAATATGTTGTTTGATTACATTAATAAAAAGATAGCAAGTCAAATACAATGTGCTTTCAGATATATCTTACCAAAGTCGTATCATTTACATGTATCAAATGCCATGAATCATTATCAGAATATAAGAAACACATGGTATGCTAACAGTATGGGTATAGTACTTAAATTAACAATGAGTAGTTTAACAACTACACAGATATCAAAATCAAACTGCATCTGATACATGTGTAAATGACTGGCCCCTCATATAAGGGAAATTCATGTTGATAAGAAATAAGAGGAAATTTTATTTACCAGCATTTGAATAATAAGAGTCTAACGTACTGCATTTAACTTTTTATTGATTTCAATTGCTAGGATATTTCCTACCATTGATTGTGCATTTATTTGGCATGGCGATATAGTGTGGGAAAAATGATCCGATTATACAGACTGTTCTATAGCAAATGATAAATCATAAAGTGTTCTTACGTGGAAACAAAAATATTTATCTCGCGAAATCACGTTACATTAAGTTTTACCAGTCAAACATTTCAATGATCAAATAACCATCGAATCCATGCAAACATGCGGTAAATTAGCATTGAAAAACAATATGTAATGTTTGCCTACCTTTTTCTTTTGTTTGGAATATACAAGTTTGTCTGTCAACCCGTCGTTTTTTTGTCCGCCAATACAATTGAATTTCAAATCCGATAAGTCGCAAATTCGAATTTACTAAATTATTTACCACTATAAAATGAAGCCCTCACAATGATAACAGCTTCATTGTAAATTATATAAACACTTCTTAGACTAATTCGAGGAGATAAGATATTATTTAAACGAAAATAGAGCAAATATATTTCATACTGATCTGCGACTATCCGTTTACAGAGCGCCACCTATCGAATATCGTACGTTAGCCACCCACGTGATACTGTTGTTTTGATGGAGAAAATAAATATATAATGTGCCCTTTCCAAACTTAAACTTAAAATTCTCGCTGTTTATGCTTTCATTTATATATATATTGGTTTCATAAATTAAATTCACCTATTGTCAGATTACCGACCAAAACCCGACGTCGAGTCGACGTCAAAATGAAACGTCTGTTAGACGTCGGGGATTCAACGTCGATTTGACGTTGTATGAAGGTCACCGACGGCGCGACCAAAATTCAACGTTGATCCAACGTTGGGTCAACGTCGGGTGTTTGCTGGGATGCAGTCCTATACATTTTCTCAAATACCTTCAAGTCTTAAGAATTTCCTTTTAATTAGTTACAGAATTTTTTTTTAAGTATTTATATGACTATGACTGTGTCACTGTAAGGGAAGTGGGCCAGAATGTTAATCTTCTTGTTTTAATACCCCACCTGCTTTTATTACCCCTGTGATGATATACATAAGTAAAGATTTCTAAAAAAATCCATTACATTAAAATCGGAGATCTTCCCAGCTGCGAATGCAGTTATATCAAGATTGTTTGTACACATAATTTGATAGATGTTTTACAAATTTCATCCGATTTACTCAAGATTTTAGATATACATAGAAAGACAAAAGGAATTCGCATATTAAGAACTTTGCCATTTTTCACGTTCACCCTCTATAAAAACCAACCATTTTCAGATAGTTTCTACAATAATTATTACATTGTTTAAAAACTTTAAAAACACTTAAGTGTCATAGTAATTGTAAACATTATATATAATCAGGATAATTTTTAGATATAATAAGGAATGATATAATAAATCAATGTGTTATGAACACTGATTAATATATGCCTGTTTCTATGAAATAGTATTCTAATAGGATCATACAAAATGAGATAGAACGTACAGAAAATAATAAATAAAAAAAATGACATAAGGTATCCCACTTACCTATGAATATCTTATATCCAATTAACTGATCATTGATAATAAATTAACAAATGTCACTACATGTTGTTTTTCCATAATGACTCTTATTTATTCATCAGGTTTTCATGAATGACCACATTATTTAAAAACGAAGCCTAGGGTAAATTTAACATACGTTTCCAACTGTCCGTAAAATATTGTATTGACGTATTTCAGTGTTTATGTTTACGGTCAATTTACTGGCGATTGATTACATCTTTTCGTGACGGGATACAAAACTATCCTGATCCCTACTATTTCATTGGTGTAAATTGATACATTATTTTATAGGTGAATGAAAAAAATTAGATTTTGAATTGTTAGAAAAGTGATATATTAAACCGTTCTAAAATTTAATTTACAAACAAATGTATTTATTTAGCATTGTTAAAAGTATACGAATATTAAAATATCTAAGATACTAATGTATCATATTGCAATCTTTTACTTTGCTGTTTTTCCTACTTTGTTGATATTTTTCATAATATATTAAAACATTGAAAAAGAAAAGTCTTTTGAATGTCGATATTTTCTTCTGTAGTCATTTATTAATCTTACGATTGTAGGTTTAAGACAATATCCAGTTACTGACCGAACGAGATCTCATCTACGGACCGACGAATAATATCACATATGCAAAGCAATTTAGCCATGCACAATAAACTTTGTTATCTTTTAAATAATGAGTCAAATTAGAACATAAAGTTCATTTATTTAACAAAGCTATCAATGCAAACAAAGTTTGGTCTGATACATTTTTATAAACAAATAAACATACGTCAAAAGTATTCGTATTTAGCATTTATTATCTGATGTATCTCTTATGTAATGCCATACGAATTACTGTGTTTTTGCAGCTGAAATTAGAAATGCATAGAAACCTTTACTTTCTTCAAATCTTAACAGGAAAAGATTACAGAAATAGCTAGAGAATAACTGATAAGCAAAAAATCACTGTTAACTTTCATTAATTGGTGTATTCACTTGCTTAAAACATCGTGACATTTCTAGCGGGGATGAAAGTGTTTTTGTGCTATGTTTTTTCATAAAAGACTGACGCAAACATGGAATTCATCAAAACCATCAGGATTAAAGTTTGTTATATTAAAGGAACGTTTGGACATTTTTATTGACATCAATCATGATAGATAAAAAAAGTAAAATAGAAATGCCATTCCTAATTTCTCTTCAAATGTGAACTTTTTGTACAAATATCTCAACCTAAGCTACATGTGTAGCATTTACAGCAGCATGTATGACAAGCATATGACGGGAGTTTATGAAAGTTTTTTAAAAACAACAATTTAGAATAAAAGTGTTGATCCTTTGATGCTTATGAAATGAAATTTGATAAAACTTTTTGACATCCATTTACATTAAAGCACAATAGGTAGCCCTGAATTTCACTAAAACGGTAGGATACACACATGTAGCACATGATATACATAAGGTACCAGACTGTACCGTTTATCAAAGAATCTGTTTATGGTGTTGATTTTAAAGACAAATGAAGTGTATTTGAAGAGCTATTTCCTATCAAAACATACATTACAACCACATTTTTATCTGATATAATGCGTTATCAGTGGTAAAGTTAGCAAACTTTACCTAATTGAAAATAAAGCTGACATTGTTTCTTCATAAAGACTAATCCGTGTCTTAAACGTTCAATACAGTCAAGCAAAACAGTTTTATGTCAATTATTTGTAAATTGGTGGATATAAAACTATTAATTACGGTGTAAGAAATTGAAGAAAAAAACATATTATGATATTTTTTTTAAATTAACTAAAAATATTGTTTGTACATTTACTGCGTGTATCACATGCACAAATACCACCCGCAGTATAAATTACGGCTTTGATCAGGAATGTCATTGATTACATCACAACTTTAAGCTGTAGTTAAAGTAGTTATATTGTTTGAATTCAATGACATACATGTATATACGTATATAATAAAAAGGTCATTGTAAGACTCTTATATAATTACTTGTATTTGGCTCCCAACGGATCGAATAGAGTTTACTAGACAAGGATCTCAGTCAGCGTTTCATTGTCTTGTGAGATCTTTATCTAGTATATTCTACTATAATCTTAGAGTCAAATAAATCTCAAGATAAAAGATCAAAATACTCCTTCAATGAATTAATTAAAGAACATGTTTATAACGAAATAATTAAAAAGGAAACCTCTCTCGATGACAATGTAAACAAAACAAATATCTGAACACACAACCTTGTTTTTATTGTGCCTATTCATTAACGGTGATATAAAACCTTACACACACGCTAGCACCGTCCAATGTGGTATTCAATACTTAACACTAAAAGACCCGAATCGAAGACTACTGAGGACAAGAAAATAAAACAACACTGAAACAAAGTACGGGACAACCTTACAGATATGTCAAACAGCATGTGTCACCTGCCCCTGAATATAAATACCCCTATTAAAGCATTCTTTTTAAATATTTATAAGACATTTCTGTAATGTAACATAAGTCAGAGGAGAGAAAAGATATAGTATGATTGCAGCTGGGTGATAACTTTAGGAATATGAACTATAAGATAAAAATTGACAGGCACAAAAATTCATCTAAGTCAAAATTTTCTCTTACTGTGATTAAAATCTTAACTCAACTCTGCAAATGGAAAAGGGCACTTAAACAGATGTTTACAAACAAGAAATTGTTTAACTGTAAAATTTTATAAAGTGAACCACAACCAAAATACATTATCAGTACAAGTGTGACTAGGTACTGTTTATATTACGTAACATGACATGACCGAGCATTTCCAAAAAAATAAATTCTGTATGAACTCTTACCTTTATAAAAATGGATCTCACTTAAAGTGTTTAAAATTATAAGATAAAACAGCAGGAAGTCGTAACAATTCTAATAAATACAGAACTTTACCTTTAAGATGGCCTATAAATCAATCATTTCTATCAAAGTTTTCTTATATCTTCTTCAGGTGTAAAAACACCAGATGATATTTTAAATGCTTCATTCACTTACAGGTGATATAGATCATCGCTTATATTGATAACGAGAAGGAAAAACATTCCATATATATTTCTGCTGAATGATTAAATGGTGTTATTATCTGTTTCAAATTGAATCAAGCATTATTATAAAAATTAAAATTTTATTTATCACTAATCAAAGATGCCACATCAATTACCAGCTGGTGTGATAAGACATATGAGCCGTGTCATGACAAAACCAACATAATGGGTCTGCGACCAGCATGGATCCAGACCAGCCTGCGCATCCGCGCAGTCTGATCAGGATCCATGCTGTTCGCTATCAGTTTCTCTACTTGTTATACAAGTAGACAGCATGGATCCTGATTAGACGGCGTGGACGCGCAGGCTGGTCTGGATCCATGCTGGTCGCAAACCTATTATGTTGGTTTTGTCATGACGCGGCTCATATTACATTATAATCATATAGAAGCACCAAAATTAAAGTAACTATTTCAAATTTAACTTGGTCTATTTGATCATTTTTGAAACACACATGGGGTCAACACTTTCGTACATTGTCTCAACACTTTCCTACAAAATCGCAATTTTGTCTACACTGTCACAGCACTACAATACATTGTTACAACACTATCGTACATTGTCACAGCACTATCGAACATTAACTCAGCATTATCGTACACTGTAACAACACTACCTTACATTGTCACAGCACTATCGTACATTGTCAAAACACTATCGTACATTAACTCAGCATTATCGTACACTGTCACATCACTTCAATACATTGTCACAGCACTATCGTACATTGTCACAACACTATCGTACATTGTCTCAACACTATCGTACATTGTCCTAATGCTATCGTACACTGTCACAACACTTCCCTATCATTGCCACATCACTTCCATATATTGTCACAACACTATCGTATACGGTCACAACACTAACTTACATTGTCACAGCACTACCGTACATTGTCAAAATACTGCCTTACATTGTCACAACACTATAATACTTTGTCACAACATTTGGGTACATTGTCACAACATTTTTGTACATGGTCACAACACTATCGTTCATTATCTCAACACTACCATACATTGTCTTATCGCTAGCGTTTATTGTCGCAACACTACTGTACACTATCGCAGCATAATCGTATATTAATATTTTATTAAACACTGTCAAAACACTGAATCATACATTTGTTGCTTTAATATGGTTTGAGTTTGTCTTTTTTTTTCCTTTTCTTTTCGTTGCTTTAATCCGAGTGTGCGTGTGTACGTGTCCGCACATTAATATACATGTATATAGTCATAAAATTCT